TGGGGCATTGCAGTTTGGGTCAGAACCTGTTCTTTCTGATTACGAGTCCACCCCCACCACGAGCGCCTCTTCAAGCCAGGCTCCAAGTAGCCTGTATACCAGCACGGCCAGGTATATTAGTTAAAATAACTATTACTAGTTGCCTACTGTTTTTCATCTTCTTTTTTAAAAAATATTGCTAGAGGGTATGTGTACTTGCAAGAGAGAGTTGGAAAAAGGGGAGAGAGAAAGCACCCACTTTATGGGAATGGTTATACCCATGGCCAGGTCTATTAGCCACGGTCACTATATATATATCTATATATATATATAGGAGAGAGAGAGAGAGACAGAGAGAGAAAGGAAAAGTGAGAAAGCAATCCACCAGGTCCAGACTTGAGTTACTGCTGTTTCTTCTTTCTCTCTCTTTTTCTTTTTTTAAGTTTTGATTGAGGGGGAACCAGCAGTTAGTGTAATGGCTATGTCGCTGGACTCCCACGTAGTCGACCGTGGTTCGCGTCCCGGACCCGGTGGCTTAAAACCCACGCCGGGCGCATGTGCGTGCGTGCCCAAGATCCCAAGAGGAGAATGGAGGAGAAGGGATTGCGGCGTGGCCATCCCCTCTGGGGGGTGATTTCTTGCTTTCTGTCTCTCTGTCTCTCTCTGTCTGTCTGGCGAGCGCACACACCCTATAGTGAAAAACCTCTCAAAAAAAAATAGTTTTGATTGAGGGTATGTGTGCTTGTAAGCGAGAGCTGGAAAAAGGGCAGAGAAAAAGCACCAATGCCACAGGAATTACATCTCAATCCTTTATCCCACTTCTCTCCTTCCCATCAGGATATTGGTTACATGTGCAAAAGGCCTTGCATGCCTACTAAGCTGTTGGATGGAGTACTCCAGCTGCATGGTTGTCCATATGGGATCTGGCACCCCTAATCACTGGTCCATGGGCTGGCCATCCCTACTCCTATTTTTCAGTGTCTTACTAATTTCTAGAACTCTGGAGAGGCCAAGCACCTTACTGGGCTAGGGAAAAAGTAGTCAATCACGTCATTTTGTGGCACACTTTGAAATATTGTTGCTAGGATTATCTGAAACTCTAAAACAGTTTGCCCCTTAGGTATCTGTAGATTGTACAAGCACAGTTCTGAAAGGTGTGAACACCTCTAATAAAGGATACCATGGCACTTGCCACAGATTGCAGTGCAATTGACCCTTCTTTCAGCCCTTTGGTGTGGGACTTGTGCCCATGAAGGGTATAACTTTGAATTCCTAGGAGGGCAGTAGCATTAATACCTTATGTAAAATAAAAATAAACCTTATAAGCCCAAACTTGCGGTTGGCCATCATAAGCAGTAGAAATCCTGGAGGAATTTCAGAGAACTGGGGTGGTTTTTCCTCAATCCCTAGAATTTACAAATAGGTGGGGACCAACAGGTGGTATATTGGATAGGGCACTGGATTCAAGTCGACTAGAGAAAGACAGAGAAGGTAAGTAAGTGAGAAAGCAAGCTGCCAGGTCCAGGGCTCTAACTGTAGTTAGTCATATGGGATTCCATTCGCCTTAACCACCACTACACCTGCTGGCACCCAAGAGAGATGTTTGTTAAAGGGTGTGTGCACTTACCGAAGAAACAGAGACACAAAAAGTGAGAAATCAGCTCCTGGGCTGGTGGGGGGTGGAGGGATGGCATATTGCAATCCCTTCTCCATTCTCTTCTTGGGATTTTGGGCATGCACGCCCTCGTACCCGGTGTGAGTTTAAGCTTCTGGGTCTGGGACTTGAACCATGGTCAGCTATATGGGAGTCCAGCGACGTAACCTTACACTATCTGCTGGGCTCATTTCCTCACATTCTCCCTCGCTCTTTCTCTTTGGTGAGTACACATGCCCTGTAGCAAATTTTTGAAAAAATAATAAATAGGGACCAGCAGGCAGTGTAATGGTTACATTTCTGGGCTTCTATATGACCAACTGCAGTTCGTGTTCTGGACCCAGAGGCTTGAAACATGGGCGCAATGTGCATGCATTCCCAATATCCGAAGAGGAGAATGGAGGAGAAAGGATTGGTGTGACCATCCTTCCTGGGAAGTGATTTCTCACTTTCTGAACAGTTCTCTCAGAATTCTAATAGTAATCTTAAGTGTATTATATTTCTTTTTTTTTTTTTTTTTTTATTTTTCTATATGGCATATGTACTCACTGGAGAGATAGAAAGTCAGAAATAGCTCCCCCCATGGGGATGACCATGCCATAATATTTTTTCCTTTCATCTTTCCTCTTGGGATTTTGGGCATGCACACATACATGCCCAGTGGTTCTGGACTTGAACCACAGAGTTGGCCATGTGGGATCCAGCTGCCTTAACCACCATGCGACTGGCTGGTCCTTAAATTGTGTGTGTTTGTTTGTTTAAGTCTAAAAAATTTTTCTGTATTGCCAGAGTGTGTCTTGGGGAGGGGGTGTGACCCATAATATAATCTGATTATGCCATAATCCTTTTTCTTTCCTCCATTTCTTCAGGAACATGGGAATGTATACACACTGTTTTTTTGCCTTTTTTTTTTTTTTAAGGTTTTTGTCATAGGACACAGGTGTTTCAGTGGCGAGGAGAGATATAGAGGGAAGGAAAGTGAAAAATCACCTCCTGGGGAAGGTGACCAAACTGCAGTTCCTTCTCCTCCATTCTCCTCTGGGGATTTTGGGCATGCACACAACGCGTTGCTGGCATGCTTAAAAGCTGCCAGGTCTGAGACTCAAACCGTGTTCAGCTACGTGGGAGTCCAGCATCTTAAATACCTTGTTGCCTCCTGCTGGCCCCATACTTGGTGCTTTTTTGAACCACAAGGACCATGTGGGATCTAGCTCCCTTAAGTACTGTGCTACAAGGCTGACCCAATTTTAAATCTAGTGAGGTCCTCAAGCCTGGGGATCAGGATTTTTTTTTTTAATGAGAGTGAGCAAAAGATGTTTTTTTCTACTTCTAGGGTTTGTGTTACGATGAGTAGAGGGGATCAAGAGTGGTATACCCTTTCTTATAGCACCAGAAATTAGGGTAACAAGGAGTTTTTCTTTTCCTTTAAGAGCCGAAGATACTTTTGGGTGCTGGCAGGTGGCGTGGTGGGTAAGACTGGACTCCCACATGGCCAACCATGGTTTGAGTCTAGGACCTGGCAGCTTGCTTTCTCATCTTCCTTTCTCTCTCTTGCTTTGTCCCTCTCTGGTCAAATTAAAATAAATTAATAAAGTTAAATAATTTTTTTAAGTTGATATTTTTTAAACTCTTTTTTTGAATGAGGTTTTTGCTATCTGGCACGTATGCTTGCCAGAGAGACAGACAGTGAGAAATCACCCCCCAGGGGGGTGGCCATGCCACAATCCCTTCTCCATTCTCCTCTTGGGATTTTGGGCACACATGCACGTGGATCCAGCGTGAGTTTTAAACTGCCAGGTCCAGGACTCAAAACTGTGGTCTTGACTATATGGGAATCCAGTGATGTAACCATTATGTCATCTGCCGGTCCCAAAACAACTCTTATCTTTAATTCCCAAACACTGTAGAATTGAAGAATTCCTACTATTGTCAGTAGAAAATTGTGGCAGTGTCTTTTATTTGTCGGAATTTGGTTTTGATTGAATCTACTTATTTCGGTAGCAAATCTTTATTGATTTCTTAGTATCAGTGGACCAACTCTTTCATTTTTCTCTGATTTTTCCTTCTCTTCTTCCCCACAGTGAATCTTCATCCACAATTTCATCTAACCAGAGTCAGGAATCTGGTTATCAGAGTGGCCCAATTCAGTCGACAACTTATACCTCCCAAAATAATGCTCAGGGCCCTCTATATGAGCAGAGATCCACACAGACGCGGCGGTACCCCAGCTCCATCTCTTCATCACCCCAAAAGGACCTGACTCAGGCAAAGGTAGTGGCTCCACAAGCCCTTGGGCATTAGTTAGAATACTGGGCAAAAGTCCTTTGAATATTAATGCTTCTATTTTTTGGCAAATGTTGCCAAGAACTCCTGAAAGTGATGACTAAGAAGCCTAAAAGAAAGCATCTTCTATGGTTGATCAAGTCAACGTTCTCTTCAGCAAGCCTGGAGACTCAGAGCCAGGAAGCCACTCTCTTTGCACTAGAGAGTCATTGTCTCTGGTAGAATCAGTCTCAAGTACCTGTCATCTCTTCTTGGAAGATCTGATTGCTAGACTTCTGGGTGCATATCAGTAGACCTCACCTTGCTGTGTCTTGGCTTGGTGAGGGGGACAGCATATGCCAGAGAAGATGGGGAGTGATTGTCAGATGCAGCCAGCAGAATATGTGCTTTGGCTAAACTGTCACACTCCTACATCCTTCCCCAAGCATTATTAGATTTGGACTTTGGGGTTTTCCTTTATCTATTTTGGGGTTATCTTCAACAGTCTGGTAGTATTGCCTCTTGTTGCCCTGGGTTTCATAAGATGTCATATTTATTATTTGTTGTTGTTTTATTAAGAATTTTTATTTATTTTAATTTTGCTAGAGAGGGACAGAGAGAAAGTGAGAAAGCAAATCTCCAGGTCGGGGACTAGGAACTGCAAGTGGCTCTGTGGGAGTCCGGCACCCTTAACCACCATGCCACCTGCCAGCTCCTATTTGTTGTTTTTAATTTTTGTTGTAATTTGTTTGTTTGGATAGCCCATATTGTATTACTCTTTTGATTAACTTGTGAGTTTCTTCTGAAGATTTACTGATCAAAAATAAGCTGAGTCAGTGCTAACTTGCCCCATTCACCTAAATTTGTTTCTTGCTCTTTTGTTTCTTGTACCAGAATGGCTTCAATTCTGTGCAGGCCACGCAGTTACAGACCACGCAATCTGTTGAAGGTAAGGGTCTCCAAGCTTTTTTCTCAACCCTATTAATAATTATGTGTTTCTTAGATTGTGGTGAAAAGAGCTCTAGTTCTAGTTCAATGATCTTTTGATCATTGTTGGTTATAGTCTTCACTTTGTTCTTCCTGCCATTTAATCTCAAACAATTCTAAATTTCAGGTTCTCTGGGGTTTTTTTGTTTGTTTGTTTGTTTTTTTAAGATTTTTGCCCTCGTGCACATGCACTCACTGGAGAGAGACAGTGAGAGGGGAAAGGGAAATATTGATGCCTATGGAGGATGGCCATACTACCATCCCTTCTCCTCCTGGGGTTTTGGACATGCATGCACACGCACCTGGTGTGATTTTCAAGCCACTGGGTCCAGAACTTGAACTGTGGTTGGCCATGTGGGAGTCCGGTGCCATAATCAGCATACCACCTGCTGGGTCCCAGCAGGTTTTGTGTCTCAAAATGGTAGTAATTCCATTGGTTTCCCCCCATTAGACAGATGAGACCCCTGCTGTGAAATGCCTGGAATTAGGCGGAAAAATAAGATTCCCCCTAATGGAAAGGATCCCTTACTAAATAATTCACACTTGTCTTTGGGGCAGCCCAGGACTCTTGGCTATAAATATTCCTGTTCCTCTAATGAGATGAAATTCTTTCTTCATTATTTCCAGGTGCTACAGGCTCTGCAGTGAAATCTGACTCACCCTCCACGTCAAACATCCCCCCTCTCAATGAAACGGTATCTGCAACTTCCTTACTGACGACAACCAATCAGCACTCATCCTCCTTGGGTGGCTTGAGCCACAATGAAGAGATTCCAAATACTACCACCACCCAACACAGCAGGTAATTTGGGGTGAAAATGGAGTTTAGGGTTGGTGACTAGCAGTAAGAGTTTGTTGCTCTGGCTTACTCACTCTACCTGGCAGAGGCCACTTTAGCTCTGCTTTTGTGGTAAGTGGCTGAGCTAAGAGCTGTGAGAAGTCAGAAGAGGCTTCTTTTATATTCCCTTTTAACATCCTCTCTTGCTTTATCTGCTCTCTACCGTTGCATGACCGTTGTACCTTTCCATATGATCTCAGAACTTCTGTTCCCACAATCTGCCTTATTTCCTTGCTTGTGTTCTTTTTTTTTTTTAATTTTTTTGAGAGGTTTTTGCTATAGGGTGTGTGTGCTCGCCAGACAGACAGAGAGAAACAGAGACAGAAAGCGAGAAATCACCCCCCAGGGGCGATGGTCACGCTGCAATCCCTTCTCCTCCATTCTCCTCTTGGGATCTTGTGCATGCACACACATGCGCCCGGCGTGAGTTTTAAGCCACCAGGTCCGGGACTCGAACTGCAGTCGACTACGTGGGAGTCCAGCGACATAGCCATTACGCTAACTGCTGGTCCCTCCTTGCTTGTGTTCTTGACTGAAACTCCTGGTAAAGTAATTCTAGCATTAGGCTAATGGCAACCTCTCTTTCCTTACAGCACATTATCTACGCAGCAGAATACCCTTTCGTCATCAACTTCTTCTGGGCGCACTTCAACATCCACTCTTTTAGTAAGTGTGAGGCTGAGAGGGGATGGCTACTCAGGATGGCCACTTTCCAACCCTAAGATTCTCACAAGAGGGAATTCTTAAATTTCTTCATGAGGTGGTAAAATGGTCATTGATCTGAGGTTGCAAGAAAAGTTGCAAAGGGAAGTGGCCAGCCAGGAGTGGCAGTAGAATCCAGAAATATTGTAGAGCTCTGAATCACTTCTAAAAGCCCTGGAAGTGACTTTGTGACTGCCCTCGCTAAAGATCAGTGGGGCTTTGTATGCTCTGAGATGTTCTGTAAGAACAGCTCTGATAGAGCAGTTCTCATTTGTGGTCTGGGATTATATTGAACACAAATCCTGAAAATAATCAGTGTGGGGCTGAACATTCTTGTGTTAAGTGGAGGCCAGATGATATCAACACAGAATTTACTTTACTCTTGATTTATATAACAACTATTTATGGAATTAAACTGAGATTGTAAAAGGAAGACCCACTTGGGGCAAAGGGTTCACATATGCCAGGATCCTGGGGAAAGGTATGAGAGTTAAGTCTTTTGTGGAGGAGGCTTTTTTTTTTTTTCTTTTTTTTTGGGGGGGGAGAGGTTTTTTGCTATAGGTTGCATATTCTCGCTCAAGAGACACAGAGAGACAGAAACCGAGAAATCACCCCCAAGAGGGGGTGGCCACGTCACAGTCCCTTCTCTTCTGTTCTCCTCTTGGTATTTTGGGCACACATGTACGCATGCCTGGTGTGAATTTTAAGCCGCCAGGTACTGGACTCAAACTGTGATTGACTATGTGGGAATCCAGCGATGTAACCGTTATACCATCTGCTGGTCCCAACTTTTTTTAGAGGTCATTAGTCTCTCAAGTGAATTATTTTTTATTTAAAGTTGGAACTCAGTACCTTTATTTATTTATTTATTTATGCCTATGAACTGTTCTCTTGGACTTTGTAGTAAAAGTGTGGGAGAGAAGACATTTTCCAGGTCTCAATTATCTGTATCCCCTTTACTGGCCAACCATTGTTTGTCTCTGGGGAGTTTGTTTCTCACCTGGTTTGCTGTTTTTGTGAAGAGACTGATATTGTGCCATGAATGACTGTCATCATCCTTGCCAGATACCTCTTGAGGAATGAATGTGTAGCTGGAGATTCTTTTCCTAGCTACTTTGGCAGAGGGCTTTCTGTACCCTAACTTGACCTTTAACTGGGAAGTTGACACAAAGCTAAAATCAGCAGAAGGGATTGTTCATCTTTCTTGACCTGTGGTGCTTATTGCTGTTTCCTTCTCCCCCTTTCTGAAGCACACAAGTGTGGAGAGTGAGGCGAACCTTCATTCTTCCTCCAGCACTTTCTCCACCACGTCCAGCACAGTTTCTGCACCTCCCCCAGTGGTCAGTGTCTCCTCCAGTCTCAATAGTGGCAGTAGCCTGGGCCTTAGCCTAGGCAGCAACTCCACCGTCACAGCCTCGACTCGAAGCTCGGTTGCTACGACTTCAGGTAGCCGTGCATAGGCGAGTGGCATTCTTCTGGGATGGAGGAGATAAGCAATTGTATGACAGTATGTAAATAAAATTTCTCTTTTAGGAAAAGCTCCTCCCAACCTCCCTCCTGGGGTCCCGCCGTTGTTGCCTAATCCGTATATTATGGCTCCAGGGCTGTTACATGCCTACCCGGTAAGTGGCACTAAAGGATCTTCTCTAGAAGATGAGGATGGGGCGCGGCTACTTTCTTTATAGCTCTGGCCTCAGATGAAAGATTGGAATTAAAATACAGAATAAGTAAGTGATAGATTGGCTCCATGGTGTGATATTTAAGCAACTGGATCCCACATGGCTAACCTCATGGTTCAAGTCCTGGATTCGGCAACTTGAGAAACACAATGGGCACAGGTGCATGCATGCCCCAAATCCTGAAAGGATGAGAGAGGTGGAAGAGAAGGGATTACAGCATGGCCATGCCTCATGGAGGGTGCTACCTCTTCTCCCTATCTCTTTGTATCTGGCAAGCACATGTGCCCTGTAGCAATAAAAAGGAGGAAATGAATAGTTGCCACATGTAAACACACAGGGTTGGTTTGTTTGTTTGTTTAGATTTTGCTATGGGGCACACTTGTCAGATAGAGAAGGAAAGTATGATACTGTGCAGGGGGGGGGTGGCCATGGCACAGTCCTTCCTCTGTTATTTTCATCTCGGGATTTTGAGCACACATGTACATGTGCCCTGCATAGTACATGGGGTTTTTAATCTTTGTAATTTTGGAGACAAAATACTGGGTGGTCAGAAAAGTCATGACGTATTTTTTTTCTTTTTCTTTTTTTTTTGAGAGGTTTTTGCTGTAGGGCACATGTGCTCGCCAGAAAGACAGAGACAGAAAGCAAGAAATCACCCCCCCCAGGTGGGAGGGATGGCCATGCAGCAGTCCTTTCTCCATTCTCCTCTCTGGATCTTGGGCACGCACGCACACACACCCAGCGTGAGTTTAAGCCACCGGGTCCGGGACTCGAACTGCAGTTGACTACGTAGAGTCCAGCAACACAGCCATTACGCCAACTGCTGGTCCCCTGTGACATATTTTTTCTTCGCAAAAGTCTGTTCTATGCAAAAGTCTGTTAGGACTTTTCTGACAACCCACTAGTTTTTATAGAAGAAGGACTATACTGAGGCCAAGTTCTCTATTGTGTATCTCATCTGTGTAGGCCTCAGAAGCAAAGACCAGACTGCTCACCTGGAACCCATTTTAGTTTCTTGGAGAATTATCTTATCTGGATTGATCTAGTTCTGGCAGTCTGCTGGCTCTATTCTGTTCAGAGTAGAGTTCTTTAACTCAGTCTGGAATTGTCTGAGAATAAGTGGCTAACATCCCCTGGTGTGTCTCCTGTCACCTTCCCTTTTTCAGTACCTGTTAAGATGAAGGGTGTTCATGTGGTGGCACAGTGGTGAAACAGCATTCTGTGAGGTTGACTCCTGTGGGAATGTTCCATGTTCGTATCTGGAGACTCTCCCTCAGTCCTCCTGGACATGCACCTCCCTGTCCAGGGTTGATTGAAAATGGGCTGGCTGATGCATGAAGACCCTGTTGAGGGTGCTGGCTTTCTATTTGTCTTTCTCATTTATGGAATAGACAAATAAAGTTTTTTCCTCCAGTTTTGCTATAGGGTATGTGTACTCACTTGTGAGAGAGAAGAGAGAGAGAGAAAAATCATCCCCAGGGCGGACAGACACAACATAATCCCTTCTCCTCCATTCTCTTCTTGGGATTTTGGGCTTGCATGCACATGTGCCCGGTGTGTTTTTTTCAACCCGGAGGGTCCGGATTCAAACCATGTAGTTGGCCTTGTGAGATCCATCCACCCTGTTAACCTTTATGCCACCTGTCATCCCCAAGAAATAAACTTTTAAAAATTGTTTTAAATTTCTTCCATGAGAGAATTTTAGTTCATTTTAGAGCAACCAGTAGTATGGTAGTTAAGGTAGCTGACTCGCAAGTAGCTAACTGTGTATTTTGAGTCCTGGACCCGGCAGCCTGAAAAACACATTGGTGTGTGTACATGTGTCCCAAAATCTTGAAGGATTTGAAGGACAAAGATTACTGCATGATCATTGGGGGAGGAGTTGCTTCCTCACACTTTTTTTTGGTGGGTGCACATGTCCTATGGCAGAAATTAAAAATTTTTCTTCCATGAGTGAGGCAATGAGACAGGCCCCCTACGGGGTTTCACGTCATGGGCTCCCTGTAGTCTCAGCTTGGCCAGGCCATAGGCATGCATACATGCTCCAGGAGGTCCTAGGGTATAAAGCCAGGACCTTTTCCATGTGGGTACAGCTGTTACCACTGTGCTACCAATTGGCCCTGCATTACACAGTTGTTTTTTTTTTTTTTTTAAAGGTTTTTGTGATAGGGCACATGTGCTTGCCAGAGAGAGTGAGAAAGAAGATGAAAAGTCACCCTCCTGTAGAGATGGCCATGCCTCTTCTCCTTTCTCCTCCCAGGATCTTGGACATGCACACACTTGCACTCTGTGTGAGTTTCAAGTTGGTCCAGGACTTGAACCACAGTCGATGTGGGAGTCCAATGACAACCATTACGTCGTTGTTGGTCCCACCTGGTGTGGTTTTCAAGCTGCCACATCTAGGACTGGACCTATGGGAGTCATGGTCCACCATGTGAAAGTATAGCACTTTAACCACTGTGTTAACTGAAAATGTTATTTTATCTGCAACGGTGGGGGTGCCTCCCCTTGACAGGGTCTTAACCATGCTTCTTCCACTCCAGCTTCCCACTCAGCCAGGATCACGGATGTGCAGCATTATGCCTTGTATGTTCAGGTCGGCCTCAGATTGGAACCTGGGCCTCACATGTGGCTCTAGCGTTGTGCAGCAGCACCCCACTGCTGGTGGCACTGCAGCAGAGCCCAGTGTTACACATCTTTAACAATAACACACTATCTTTGTACCCAGAGGGTAGAGGCAAAAATATATATATATGGATCCTTTCTGGAAAAGGTAAACTTTTTTCCTTTTCTTTTTTTAAGAGAGTTTTTATTTTTATTTTGTTTATTTATTTATTTATTTTTGCCATAGGGCATGTGCATTTGCTGGAGAGACAGAGCGACAGAAAGCAAGAAATCACTCCTAGGGGGATGACTTGCCATAATTCTTTTCTCTCCATTCTCCTCTTAGGATTTTGGGCATGCACACACACATACCCAGCATGAGTTTCAAGCCATTGGGTCCAGGATTCAAAACATAGTCAGCTGCATGGGAGTCCAGTGCCTTAACCACCATGCCACTTGCTGGCCCCTGGAAGAGATAAATTTTAAGCCATATTTTGAAAGCTATCAAGACAAGAGACTAGTAGAATACAGTAAGCCTGTTGTTCTGTTTACCTTACTGCTCTTCAAGCCAGACAAGTTGAATCAGTATATAGTTTAAGGGGCACTTTAAGACCTTTCATGTATAATATAGTCTCTGTACTACTTTTTCCTTGAAAGTGTGAAGGAAATAATCTTTTATTCTAAGAATGAGGTGGATGTTTCATTGATATATCTTGCCTATTGGCTGCTCGGTTTACTACCATCATGACCAGTCCTTTTAATGTTGTTATATGTCTGTTTTTCAGCCACAGGTATATGGTTATGACGACTTGCAGATGCTTCAGACAAGGTTTCCATTGGTGAGTATGTGGGATATAGCTTTGGAAAAGAATGCGATTTTTAAAATGAGTGTTGGGAAGATTATCTCAAATGTTCATTGGATAAGTTACAGACTTTCCCAGCCCATCCGTTCATACATGGATTTTGGTTTAAGATATATTGGAATGTAGAGACAGAATACAGTGGTTCTAACAGAAGGTACCTTTTTCTTAAAAAACAAAAGCCCATTGGGAACCGACAGTTAGCGTAATGGCTATGTTGCTGGACTCCCATGTAGTCGACCGCGGTTCGTGTCCCGGACCCGGTGGCTTGAAACTCACGCCGGGCGCGTGTGCGTGCGTGCCCAAGATCCCGAGAGGAGAATGGAGGAGAAGGGATTGCGGCGTGACCATCCCCCCTGGGGGGTGATTTCTCGCTTTCTGTCTCTATGTCTCTCTCTGTCTGTCTGGCGAGCGCACGCGCCCTACAGTGAAAATCTCTTCAAAAAAAAAAAAAAACCCATTTTGCCATCCTTGACGTGTATACATCTTAACCAATTCTATAGGCCAGTAGAGTGCCATGGAGTACTCCTGATGTTTTTTGTATGTTTCAAACACTTTAAATTACAGAGATTAAGATGTTTTCTCAGTATAATAAGTAGAATTGGCCTAGATTGATAGGGATGATACCTAAAGGGGGAGAATAGTGTTGTTTCCAGTTGGCTTCTGTGTGTTCTTCAGTAGGCATTCGACCTTGCTTGACTATACTCATGGACAGGCAGGGGGGACAGTGTATGCAAGAGTATTTGGAGTTCATGCCAGCTCTAGCCAGCTCAATCAGTGGCTGGATAAATTGCAACACTCCAACACTCTCCAGCATCTCACCTTGTAGAAAGAATTCTCAGGCTGGGGGATGAGTGGCACTGAGACTGCATTTTACTCTCTTCCAGGATTACTACAGCATCCCATTTCCCACACCCACCACTCCACTGACTGGGAGGGATGGTAGCCTGGCCAGCAACCCTTATTCTGGTAGGACTGGGATGGGGCTTGAATAAAGGGAGATTGTGTTGGGATTGGTGGCAGAAATCTGATTAGTAGCAAGAACAACCCTGGTTCTTAAGATCTTTGATAGACATAGACAATGGTTGTGATAATCAGATCTCGTAGATTATGTTCTATTGTCTTCCTGTGATTGTCAGGTGATACCCTTTTCTTTTTTTTCTTTTTCTTTTGGTTATTTTTAGTTCATAATTGTAAACTTTGCAATTCAGCTACATTTGGAGGGGAATAAAGAAAATATGGAACCCAGGGACTGGCAGGTGGCATGGTGGTTAAAGGCACAGGACTCCCACATGGCTGGCCATGGTTTGAGTCCCGGACTGGTAGCTTCCTTTCTCATTTTCTCTCTCTCTGTCCTTCTCTGGTCAGATTTAAATAGATAGATAGATAGATAGATAAACTTTAATAATTCTAAACAAAGAAAACTTTAAGAAAATATCGAACCCAAAGAACTACAGCAAGGACACAGATTGTAGGACATAGCAAGCCGATGGGCTAGAGGGGTGATCGATCTCCTGTGCTACAAAAGGAAAGGTCCAGTGGTTAAGAGAAAACATAAGTCAAATTCATAAAAGTTGTCCACAGTCAGCAATGTTGATTTTCTTGTTGGTTTTGCTGTTCTTGAACCCAAAGCATTCCATGGCTTCCACAATATTCATGCTCTCTTTCATCTTGCCAAAGATCACGTTTGCCATCCAACTAGTCTAAGCAGTGGTGATAAAAAAAAACTGGGGACCATTTGTATTGGGTTCAGCATTTGCCATTGACAAGTTGCCAGGACCTGTATATTTCAGGAGGAAGTTATCATCATTGAATTTCTCCCATAGATAGACTTACACCAGTACCATTGTGATATGTGAAGTCACCACCCTGGCACATAAACCCTGGAATAATTCTGTGAAAGCAGGGGCCCTTATAACCAAATCCTTACTCTCCAGTACTTAAAGCACAAAAATTTTCTGCTGTCTTGGGACCTTTGTCTGCAAACAGCTTGAAGGATGTGCAGCCCAAGGGCTCACCATTGATAGCGATGTCGAAGAACCCGGTGGGGTTGACTGTAGTTGAGGGCAAGAGACTCAGGCAGTGGTGTCTGCAGAGCCAATACCCTTTTTATTAATTCAAGAAATTTTGTGAGTTGATAATTTTTTCCATGAGAGAAGGGGAGAAACACCGAGAAACAGCAGCCCAAGACTGTCTCTTTTTCTTTTCTTTTTCTTAAATTTCCCAAAGGGTACTTGTGCTCACTGGAGAAAGAGAAGGGAGAAAAAGTGAGGAAGCACCCTCATGGTTCATGGTCACACCACAATCCTTTCATCTCCCGTTGGGGTTTTGGGCACATATGCACATGCATCTAGCGTGTTTCTCAAGCTGCTAGGTCTGGGACTTGAACCACACAGGCCACGTGGAATCTAGCTGCCTTTACCACCATACCACCGGCTAGCCCACAGACAGGGTCTGGATGCCATAGTAACCCTTGCCCCCAAATTCAGCCAGCCTTTGATTGTAGGCATGCATGTGCCTGGTGTACCTGAGGAGATGGTCTCTGGATAAAAACCCAGACTCTCCTATGTTGGCCAGCTTCACAGAGCTTTGTGTTTTACTGGTGCCACCCTCCAGTTTCCTTTCAGTGATGTCATGACTTTGTTTCCTCAGCAATTCTTAAGCTGTTTCTAGGAAGTACAGTGGTTGAACCGTGGACCCTGCTCACAGTGGCAGTTTCATTGCCTTGCTAGGCATCGGACTTTTTTTTGCCTGACTTATCATTGTTCTCATTGACTTATCATTTTCCCTGATCTATCATTGTCCTTCAATTCCAGCATGGGGTCTTCCC